TGATTGCCTCAATCAAAGACAGCAAAAGCCGATATGTAAGATAACTGTGCGAAAAAGTGGAGCGGGATTCCTGGAGGCTAGGTTAGGAGATTATAACAAAGAAACTAGAGGCTTTAGGCTCTACAGAGCCAATGGACACAAACATCATAAACGCAATTGTTAACGAACTCTTTCCGAACCAACCCGAGACGGTCGAAAAACTGAAGACCGAGAGACAACAGTGTCGGAATTCACCGAGACGGAGTTCAGCTGAGTTGCGACCACACTTAGGCCCGGCAAGGCATCGGGACCAGACTGTATCCCGGGGAAAATTCTTCGAGGGATCGCGAGAACATTACTAGGATTATTCCTGGACATGTACAAGGCTGGCATCTTTCCCACACGGTGAAAGACGGTTGAACTTATACTTTAGTATAAAAGGAGAACCGAATAATCCGTCCTCCTACAGGCCCTTGAGTCTTCTAGATATAGCAGGCAAATTATACGAAGTACTATTGAAACCAAGAGTGACGGACGCAATAACGGCAAACGGTGGACTGATGGAAATCCAATATGAATTCCGAAAGGGCCACTCAACTGTAGACGCGATCCCGGAAGTCGCGTTAGAAATGCCTTTAATACCGCTAAGCGGAGGTCTATAGTGGTAGCACTCTGAATCTTCGTAGTCCCTTTATACCTGATGTGGCTAATGGAGAAGTACTTACGAGACAGATGAATCAGATACGAGACGATAAATGGAACGGTGATCAGCGGATTACTACAGAAATCCGTTCTGGGTCCAGATCTTTGGAACATACCGTATAACACGCTACTTAGACTGAACATGCCAACAAGGGGTAAAATGAAAAATATCTAAGGGTGATTCTAGACGCCTGATGGCAAATACATTTATACCAAGACAAAGTAAGAGAAGACTACTAATGTCTACGGTCCACTCAATCATGCTATATAGGACGTAGGTGTGAACCAACACCTTGAAGGTCAGAAAATACAGCAAACGACTGAAGGACGTACAGAGCCAGGATGCTTTAAGGATCGCTCGCGCCTATAGGTCGGTTTCGGCAGAGACTATACTAATGGAAAGGCAAAGGTGAAAAGGCAAAAGAAAGTAACAAAGGAAAAAGTTGAAAAAAAAATATGCAAGAAAGAGAAAAACAGAAGAAGAGAAGATTAATCAACAGAAAAATGGGAAGAAGAGCTGAAGAGACAGAAGCAGAAGACGGGAACGCAAGAGTTGCAGACACACCTACATACGTACACATATACACAAAACACACACACACGCACACACACACACACACAAAACACATACATTAGCAATTACACAAACTGGATACGAGACACAATTGTAATATAAGAAATGAAAACCAAATGTAACATATAGGTTGTAAATAAATAAACTAACTAACTAAACTACTTGTAAAATTAATCAAAACAATTGTTATTCAATCATTTATCTTATTTGTAGAAGAAATAATTTACAAATTTGTAATTTAATTATTATTCAAATTCTATTTGTTAAACAGACATACTTGATCTTGAATAACGTTCTGTACATCATAAATTATTTTATTGTAAAATTCGTGTTAAAGTTGTTTATTATTTGTGCAAATTTGTGAAAACATCGTTGTAGGGCCAATCCAGCGTAAAAGGGTGCTTCTACCACGAGTATAAATTCGCTCATCGTTGTGTCAAAGAGAATTCTGATCCAACCTTGTCTAACCGTGCGAACACTGTACAGAGTAAAATAAAGACTCAGCCCTTTCCTAAGATATATTTCATTATTCGGTGGATCACCTTATTATTTTCCTTTCCTATATGATTGTTTAAGAGCCCAAATCATAAGACATTCTCTCTTATGAGAAAAAAGCAGTCTTAGACGATCTCCTCTTCCAATCGTATTATCGTAGCCTAAATATTCGACTAAGTTTTTGTTGCTGCACTGACTGGCCTTTTCCGGATAAATGCGACAATACTTAGTATAATTTCAAACGACGCATTGAGATAGCAAACCGTGTCGACTTAAACTCTGTTCATTGTTCGATGAATAATATCTCAAGGTGTTGTCAAGATTCGCATATTCTCCGTTATGTAGTCATTAGGAGGGTTATAATTGATGAAGGTCAATTTCACGTGCATTCTAAAGCAATGGCTACGCCGGCCGAGTTAACCGTCTTTGTCTCCGTTGGAGTCCGTTCACCTTTAACAATCAATTTTTTTGACAGTTTCTTTATCTTGGGAGTATAGTGGTATATTCATATTTCGTCTACAGTTATAAATCTTTTTAGAAAGTCGTCCGGATTATGGTAAATGCGCGCCAAGATGGCTTTAGCAGCAACTACAAGATTGCGGTTATTTTCTTTTGTGACGAAATGCAGTACCCATTTTACCAAAATTTTTTTTATATTCTATTCATCATATTAAAATTACAATGACGATACCATTTAACATCCCCGTTATTTCAACTATTTCACCTAATTTCGATCATTTGGGGGATATTCACTTCTACAGGACGTTTTGAATGATGTTTATCTTTTGTTGATGTACAGCCACGTTCAAATTCATTTATCTAATTGAAAACAATTGCAAATATAGGGGTGGACCTCAATTTTTTCTATTGTTAAAGGATAAGCAAAAATGTATTTGAATAATTTATTATAATATATAAGTATATTTCTTGCATATTCTATAATTTTTATTACTGTGCTTAACGTGCTTAATTAATTTCCATACTTTTTAATTTATAATGTATGAAAGATAAAAATATATTTTATTCCATTTTATTCTATTCATTTTCTTCCTCTTTCTACCAAATTTTAACACGATAATTTCAAAAAATAACATCTTATATTTTCCAAACCATTTATTAACGGCATATTTCCATCTGTGCAGATTATTATCCATGTTAATTATTCATAAAGTGAATTTACTGCTGAAATATGAATGTCACATTCCTAGATATATGATACATGATACAAAGATTTCGAAGTATACGAAAATTAAAAATTTCGCGCTCTTTTCTAGCATCAACGAATCACAACGCTAGATGTCGGCGACTCATCATTTTTTTTAAGATGGAATAACGAATTTATACGCAAGCATCATCGATGAAATCACAACTTAAGCTCTTCACCTAAAACTCTACTGTATAGTTTTTTAAGGCGTGAATATCATTACTAATATACTCTAAAAGGAGATTAAGAGTACGTTGAAATATTACCGAATTAGGCAGTGTGAGTTCAATCGTATGAGGTTAGGTGAATTGTACAATAGTTTGACAATATTTAGGTTGAAATAAGTTGAATTGATTTATTTTATATTAACATAATGTCTATAAAAAGGTGAGACTTGACAAAAATATAAAACATCTAGTTTTATAATGAAAAAAAGTCAAACTTAAATTAATTAAACAGTTCACAAGCAATAACTAAGCGATAATTAGCAAGGACAATTGACAACATTGACAATCAACTTTCGTTATGAGTTCTTGCGGTTGTTCGTAAAAATATTTAGATGCAAGAAGTACTATGATGCCGTTCATAGTAGACGTGAGGAGAGCTCTCCTATTTACAGGCGCATGTAACAGCCACAGAACTGTGGAAGAGTTCATCGCACATCTACCGCGAGCGGCCTTGACGTCTCAAGGATGGGAACAGACCTTGCCGTCGCAGGCTTTAAAACCACGTTGGTGATAGGTTCCTAAAAAACAAGGCGACCATCCCCTGCAACCGTATGAAGAGAATCGAGTCCGGCAAAGATAGGCCTGTGCATCGTGATCACTTCATTCAGAGTTTTACAAAGTTTATACGCACACCTCCGTTGTAGAGTCTCTTAGTCGCCTCACAATGTCCACTAGCGCATGTGAGAGAACACTCACTGCATGGCGATTAAGGGCCTCGAACTTTACAGGAAACGATGGATATCTTGGCGAGGAGATAAATCGTTACGTGTCGAGAAAACTAACGGCAACAGATTGACTAGCTTATTTTCCTTTCAACCGGCGATGCATCGCAAATTTCTCCCTTATCCCTTGTCGCAAGGAAGAGGGAAAGAAAATGCATCGCAATTAAGCCGTCGGACCCATGCAGGTCAGCATTTATTCTCTTACGACTGTGCGACACGTGTCGAGGAAGGCATAGACTCGAGGGTGGAAAATTTATAATTCAGGAAACCCCGATTGTCTGAGCCAAAACATGTGCTTTCTTGCCATTGAGCACGTCGATGGATATTGCATAGATAGCATTAAATCGTAAACTTATATAAATACAAAATTTTATCTCACGTACTACGTACGAGTATAATAATGAGATAAGTATCCAACTTGATAGAATTAAAATTTTTTCAGTATCATGATATTTCAACATTGAATAAATAACTAAACAATGACTCAAGTACTGAAAATTGGAAATCATATGATCTTTTCATCATAATTTCAGGGAAATTGTTTGAAGAATTTAAATATTCCAAAGTGATTAATAGTAAAATTACGAAAGCAAACTGGAAAAATGGCTTGTATAACGTCGATTAGCATTTAGAAGGGTTATTTTTCTCCAGACGCTTTCACTATATTTGGTAATAATCTAGATTTTAAAAGATTACTCTTTTGACAAAAGCACTTATTATATGTTTACATACGGGTAAGAAGATGAATTGTTTTGGTGTTCGAAAAATTCTTGAATCGAAATAACTTTTTCAAAATGACATCTATTAAACTGAAATTTTTTTCGGGCAACATATAGTAAATTGGACTTTCATTTCGATCGAGGAAAACAACGATAATGATTACGTAATGATAAGAAAATAAATGATTTTTTCCAAAGGCCAGAATCGCTATCTATGCAGTGTCACAGACTGTAGTTGCTTTGTTTTTACATCGTGAATACTGGCATGTGACTTGTTACTGCGACTCTTCATATTTAAATCTATATCACTATTTAATTTATTAATATGTACTCGATGAAAAATAAGTATAACAAAAAATCGCTTAGATTCGTACTTACTTGAAAAAGTCGTTTCGACAAAAAAGCTTGTGTTCCCTGGAAAAGCATTTTTCTTGAAGAGGGTTTCTGCAATCACAGCATCGCACGCAGTCAGCGTGCCAAGCTCGGTCCAGAACATTAAACAGGAACTTATCCATGATAGGCTTTTCACATCCTGCGCATGACAAAAGCATCGCCAAACCACACCGCCCTATAACCATATCAATATATAATTTATAATTTCCCTGGTAGAAATTATATTTTTAACTCAATTATAATTCTCTGGCATACTTTGTAAATTTTAAAATGCTTAATTCCTATCTTTGCAATTTTCGACATCTAGTAGCATTTTAATTAAATAAAATTTATTTTAATTTTATTTCGGTTTTACGAGCTCAACCTAAAAATAATAATTATTACTCATTTTGTTCGCTATGGTTCGCGAGATTTGAAATGAGATTTTTTTTAAATTTAAAGGCGTTTCGTTCCGTGCTATTGGATTGGATCATCAGTAAGGATCCAAGAACATTTCTTGGACATCCAGTCATTAGATGTCGAGTAGCTAAGTATATAAGAGGTTTTAGAGGTCCATGCCCATCAGTGATGAGAATCCGATGACACTACAAAAAATTTCATTTTCACGAAGTCGTACCATATCTATATCGTTTATACAGCTATGACCAAGATGCTATGGGAATGCCGGCTGTGAATCTTGATTATAGTTATATAAACAATATAGATACAATACAACTTCATGAAAATAAAATTTTTTGTAGCGTCATCGGATTCTCATCACTGATGCCCATTTCTACAAAAGAAGAAATGAGCCCTCTACCGGCAATTTTTTCAACTATATACCAAGGTGTTCAAATTAAATTGTGACGCTTGTCTAAGCATCTAGGCGTCTAAAAAATGCTGTTGGATTGGACTCATTATTAACAATTCATACATAACATTCATGCTGTAAGAGCAAGTCACTTTATTGTATAAAATTAGATAAGATATGAAATAATAATACAAAAAGATGAAAATTCTCATCTGATTAAAACTAAAATAAAATACGTAAAAAAATATACCTATATAAAATATATTCAATAAATGCGCGCACGCGTGTTAGTGTGTGTTTTTATATATACATATTAACAAATCAAATTTAAAAGGATTCATAAATTATTTTTTGAATATATATATACAAAATATTCCAAGAAATGAATATTTTTGTATATAGAATAATCATTATTATGATAAAATACAAAAAATACAGTTGGAGTTACAATTACGTATTATTCTATTGATAAGCATAATTTATATTTAATTTATTACATTTACTAGACAGAAAAATGAAATTATTTTTCAATCCAGAAAAATATAAACTTTTTTAAATGTTTTGATTAGTTTTAATTTGAAAATTAATTTATGTATATTTTTAAATGAATTGAAGTATTTGATAACATAAACAGTAAAGTAAATAAGAAGTTATTTTCAAAGTATGGGCACGCCAATGAAATAAATATTTTTATACACGTAAACATATCTATACACACACGCACATCCACACACACACACACGCATATATATATACATACACATACGAGGTCTGTTCAAAAAGTATCGCGAATTTTGAATTTCCGCGGGCTACCTAAATTTGATATTTGATTTTTTTATATTGGTACTCATGTCCCTTACTTATGCTGACAAGGTCGGCCATTTTGAATGTTTAGTTAATTTTTGACAGCTGTTTTGCTTGGATGTGTTCTGGCTCGTCTTCGATGTTTGCCTATTCTACAAAATGGATCCAAGAATCTCTATCAAATTTTGTGTGAAAAACAAGATAAAGAGTATTTCGAATGTTGACTGTGGCATATGGTGAAGCTACCTTGAACCAAATCAACGTTTATCGGTGGTACAAATTGTTCTCAGAGGGCCGAGAAGATGTGAACGGCGAATAACGTGCCGGACGCCCGAGCACGTCAACAACAGATGAAAATATTGATAAAGTGAACAAAATATTATTGACCAATGGTCGAATCACCGTTAGAGAAGTTTCTGAGGATCTAAACATATTAATTGGCTCATGCCATTCAATTTTAACCAATGATTTGGGCATGAGTCAGGTCGCGGCGAAATTCGAGCCAAAACTGCTCAATTTCGACCAAAAAAAGCATCGCGTTAACATTACTCAGGAGAAGTTGGACTCGGTCCGTGATGACCCAAATGTGCTCCAGAGGATCATAACTGGTGATAAATCATGGGTTTATGGTTGTGATGTAGAAACCAAAGCTCAATTATCCCAATGGAAGCTGCCGCATGAGTCAAGACCGAAAAAAGCGCGTCAAGTTCGGTCGAACGTGAAGGTTTTGCTCACAGGTCTCTTCTATTACAGGGGTTTGGTGTATCATGAGTTCTTATCACAAGCTAGTACGGTTAATAAGGAATATTACCTGCAAGTTATGTGCAATTTGTACGAAGAAATTCGCCAGAAACGTTCGGATTTGTAGAATAATAAAAACTGGCTTTTGCACCATGATAACGCCCCTGCTCCCACATCGTTATTTGTGCGCGAATATTTGGCCAAAAACAACACGGTAATGGTACCGCAGTCACCATATTCCCCAGATCTGGCCCCCTGTGACTTTTTCCTGTTCCCAAAACTGAAAAGGCCCATAAAAGGACGATGCTACGCCATGATTGAGGAGATAAAGATAGCATCGAAAGAGGAGCTGAACAAGATCACAAAAAATGATTTTTTTAAGTGCTTCGAGGATTGGAAATAACGATGGTACAAGTGCATTATATCCGAGGGGGATGACTTTGATGGAGATAAAATAGATATTCATGAATTGTTTGGTTTCGGGATGGCCACCGCGCACACTTTCCGCGCATGGCTGGTCCTTCCTCTAACCTCGGGCCCACTTCCGTTAATTCAATTGAACAACGGCGCCGTTGCGCCCTTCTGAATCTCAGTGTGTGCTAGCCATTGAGCGCATCGTCGTACGCAGGCATACGATAGTTGAAGTTTAATTCGTGTTGCGGTTATATAGCAAATAAAGTTATTGACATTCAAATTACTAAGTGATTTATTCCCTACCTCAACGTCTTTTTCAATACATGGTCCTTCGAGCCGGATAACAAATGAAGACGATCCAGCGACCGGACGAGCACCGAGACAGCGATTCACGTCGCTCCGCCAACAACGACAAAGGTGAATAATAACTCAGCGCACTGCTCTCGGGCCCGATCAATGGGAAGACGAAGCACTCTCAAGCAGCAAGTGCTACGGTGGTCGGAACAACGTGAAACGAGCGCGGGTCCGCCATGGCGGTCGGTAGGACGGGCGGCCGCGTTTGCAACAAAGCACCTCGAACGACGCGGACGGCCATCTTACGCACAACCAGACAAGATCGGCGAACTACGAGCGGCCGTGTTCTCATCGAGCACGCGTTGACACTACTAGCGATAATCTTGCAAACGGTGCATCGAGAACGACAGACAACGTCCCACGGCCAGGAGGCAGGACGGTGGACCAATTCGGCAGGCTCGGCACCGGCACTCTCTCAGCACTACATTTTCAGCAACTCATGCGTGCAGTATGTCGGCGGCTCGGTCACTCGACTATCAACTGTCCGCCGTTTTCTTCTCCTCGGGCCAGTGCTCGGGTCGACGTCAGACAAGCTGACTCGTCACCGTCTCGCATGTGGCTCCACGGTTGACGTGACGCGCTGCAGCGGTGTCGCGCTCTAAACCGAGACCTCAGGAGCCTGAGACTCGGCGACAGCCGGTGACCCCACCGCACGCTCACACGGCATCGGCTCGGCACTAAAACATACGCGGCCATTACAGATGGCTCTACTACGGGCGCAACTTGCTCTCCTCACGGTACTCGAGCGCAACTGGAACGCCATCATCAACCTGCCAATGGATCAATGGATGGAGGGACTCGTCAACAGCCGGTACAACATGTTGGAGGGCTACTGGAATAATTTCTCGGCAAATCACGTGCAGCTGCTCACCACTGACGACGGAGACGCAGCGATCACTGACTACCTCAACAGTAACGCCTACAAGAAGGCAGAGAGCTTCTACGCTCGAGCTCAGGGCACTCTTTATGACCTCCACAATCTCTCCGGATGCCCAACAGGGCGACAACTCTGAGGGCGTCGCCACTCACAATACGGCCTCCGGCCGACGACTTGCACGACTACCTCACATTAAGATCTACCCATTCAGTGGAGAACAGAAGTTCTGGAAATCCTTCCGCAACTTATTTACCTCCGTTTACCACAATAAGCCGAACCTCAGCGACGTGGACAAGCTGTTCTTTCTGCAGTCACATGTCCGAGGACGCTCTAAGGCCGCTATCGAGGAACTGCCATCGACTGAAACTAACTACGCGACCGCGTGGGCCGCCCTCAAGTCTCGCTACGACCAACGACGACTGCTCATCCAGGAGCACATGAAAGCGCTTCTCCGCCTGCGCACCGTCCGACAAGAGTCGGCAAAGGGACTGCAGTATCTGCTGGACGAGCTCAGACGCCATCGCAACCAGCTGCTCGCCCTCAGCCGACCAGTTGAGTCGTGGCACGACTGGTAGGTCTATCTTGGCTACAAGGCGATGGACAGCAGCACTCGACGAGCCTGGGAAGAGTTCATTGAGGCGAAGGAGAGAGATGACCGCGACATCGACCCCTCATTCGAACAGCTATCAGACTTCCTGGAGCGCCGATGCCGCATGCTGCGATCAATGGAAGCGGTGACGTCAAGTTCCTCGAACAGCTTGGTGGCCGGCGCTATCTCCAACGGATCCACTCCCGCACCACGCCTCACACAAACTCACGCCACCATCGCCCAGCGAGGTTATCCCGCATGCAAAGAAGCGCACTACATCGGGTATTGCCACGTTCCGCGGGATGGAGCCCAACGAGCGTCGCCGCCTTGTCACGGACCGTGGCCTCTGCTACAATTGCTTAAGCAGCAGCCATACCGCTCGCAGCTGCCCGTCAACATCATTCTGCCGAAATTGTTCCGGATCTCACCACACGCTGATCTATGACGGCGCCGGTAAGCGACCCACTCAACGCGACCGAGAGGATTCAGAAGCGAAACGAACAAGGACCCAAACCCAAACTCAAACAATGGTCACGCAAGAGAGTCCCACTCGCAAGTCGAAGTCCGCATGACTATCGATCTTGCCCACCGCTATAGTGACTCTCAGCGGCCTCGACTCGAGGAGGGAGAGCGTCCGAGCGCTGCTCGATCCATGCTCCGACGATACGCTCGTCTGCCATGCCATCGCCCGACGCCTCAATTGCAACCTTCGCCGTGTCAACGTTGGAGTCACGGGCGTATTCGGTACCGTCATAGACTCCGCTCGCTTCCAGACACTCATCCGCCTCATCGACCCATCAACCAACTGTCACTGGAACCTCGACGCCCTCGTACTGCACACTATCGGCATTATCACGCCGACAGAAACGCCGGAGGTCGCACTGACTCTCATCAAGGACCGGCTGCTGCTTGCCGATCCATTCTTTTACGAGCCTCGATCGATAGACATCGTGTTGGGCGCCGATGCTTATTAGTGAGTCATGAGGCCCGGAGTTGAGCGATATGGATCGCTGCTGGTGCAGCGTACGGAATTCTTATACGCTTACTGGAGCTAGCGATCGCAACGCCGACCGTCGCTCCTCCAACAGTCATGCGTGTACGTCCGCTCCGACTCATCCTACCCCAGACACTGGCTACGAACAATTGCTCAGTCTGGTCCAACGATTCTGGGAGACGGAGAAGGTACCACACGCCCACAGGATCTCGATTGCCGACCGCGAGTGTGAGAAGTCATATACGAACGGCCACTCGCGGGACTCCACTGGACGCTACGTCGTCCCCCTGCCTGTCAAAGCCGAGTCATTGGGTTCGCTCGGTGACGGACTGCCACAAGCTCGGGCAGCACTCACCTCACTACATCGACGAATGCTTCGAGATCCTGACTTGCAGATCCACTACAGGATGTTCATGAGCGAGTACCTCCAATTAGGCCATATGCGACGTGTATCGCCTGTTGAGCTGGCCCATCCATCCACACCAGTCTACTACATTGCGCACCATGGCATTTGACAGAAGGGTGACAATGAACGCAAGCTGAGGGTAGTGTTCAATGCCTCCAGACCCACTGTCACCGGCCGCAGCCTGAATGACGCGCTCCATGCAGGCCCGAAACTTCAAAGCAGCATCTCGGACGTCCTCAGCCACTGGAGAAGGTATAGGCACACCTTCTGCGCCAACGTCAAAATGATGTTTCATCAGATCCTCGTCGCTGACCATCACGTGCACCTCCAACGCAACCTCTCGAGCGCTTCGGCAGACGACCCCCCGGAGCATTATGTGCTGCTAACTGTAATGTATGGCGAGACCTGTGCGCCTTATCTTGCCATCTGCATCTTGAAGCAGCTGAGCGTCTACGACGACAACAAGTACCCGGACGCCGCCGACGCCATAGAACGCGAGCTCTATGTCGACGACTTTCTAAGTGGCGGACACGACATCCCCTCAACGAAGCGACGCCGTCATCAGCTCATCACTCTACTAAAGGCGGACGGCTACGCCCTCAAGAAATGGGTCGCCAACGAGCCTTAGCTACTAGAGGATGTACCGAGCGAGGACCGTCTACGACCGAGTTGGATGCAATTCTCCACAGAAGGATCCATTAACGAGCTCGGGGTGGCCTGGGATCCCGTCAAGGACCAATTTATCTTCCTGTCTCCTGCAGCGGAGGTGGGAACCCTCCTCACCAAGAGGCAAACTCTGGCCGAGTTTTTGACCCACTAGGGTGGCTGGTACCAGTCACGCTCGTGGCTAAGTTCGTCATCCAGGACCTCTGGAGGGCCAAACGCACCTGGGACGAAGAGCTTCCTCAGATCTGGGCTGCCAAGTGGGACACAATAAGGGGCAGTCTGAGTTCCATGAGCGGCCTCGTCATCCCTCGCTGGCTTGGATACATACCCGGTCAATCCATCCAGCTTCACGTGTTCTCCGACGCCAGTCGTCGCGCGATGGTCAGCGTCGTATACTCGCGTACGACCCCGGACGGCGGGCGGCCGACAATCGGCCTACTCGGAGCCAAGACTAAGCTGGCCTTCATCCGCAGTCTTCAGCCTCCCGCTCGCGCGCCCGCACGGATAACTATTCCGAGGCTCGAGCTCAGAGCCGCTCTCATCGCCTCACGATTGCTCGTCACACTGGCACGCTCCCTCGACGTCCCTCTGTCAGACTGTCACCTGTGGAGTGATTCCAGAATCGTGTTATCATGGGTCCAATCGGACAAGCCCGTCGGCAATGAGCTGATCGACAATTATATTGCCCAGATTCACGAGTTCAGTTCTGAGGCCGTCTAGCATCACGTGCCCACAAAGGACAATCCGGCTGACATCGCGTCCAGAGGTGCAGACGCTCCTAAACTGGAATAATTCAAACTGTGGTGGAACGACCCGCATTGGCTTACGGACGATGAGAGTCGCTGGCCTTCCTCTCCCGATCACGCCCCGCATCCACCGCCCACCAACAATGAAGCTGCCATTCAATTGCCAATCCTTTGTGCGACCACTCAGACTCGCTCATTCACGCCTCATCACATCGACTGTTTCTCATCGCTCTCAAGTCTTCTCCGCGGCACCGTTCGCGCGCGTCGGCTCCTCCGCCGCAAGCGCTGCGTCACCTCGAACCCTCTACCGGCGCCCATGACGCCACTAAGAACCGCCGAGCTCAGGCGATCCTTCATCGACTGCATCAAGCTGACTCAAGCCATCACCTTCGCCCAGGAGCTTGTCGATCTTCGATCACCATCACGTGACCTCCTTCGCCACCGCACTCTCCGTCCACTGGCTCTGTTCGTCGACGATGACGGGATCCTCCGTGCCGGCGGATGATTGATCCATTATTGCTACCATACGATGAGCGGCACCCACCTATCTTGGACGGCTCCTCCCATCTAGCCAAGCTGGTCATCCGTTGGACTTACGAGCGCAGCCTTCATTCAGGGTTTCGTGCCACGTACGCCTGGACTCTCCATAAGGCCTGGATCATCAACGCCAAGGTGTTGGAGAAAAGGCACATTCGAGATCGCACAATTTGCACTCGCATTGCCGCTCGCACCGCTACCCAGGGCATGGCTCCACTACCGGCTGCTTATGTGACCGGCTCCTTCACGCCCTTTCGAGTGCTGCGGGCTCGACTACGCCGGCCCATTCCAGGTGCTGCGATCCAAAGGACGCGGTGTCTCCAGCTTCAAAGGATACATCGCCCTCTTCATCTGCATGAGCACCAAAGCCATTCACCTCGAGCTGGCTGGTGATCTCAGCACGGTCAGTTTCCTAGGAGCCCTCACACGGTTCGTAGGCAGGCGCGGCCGTCCCGTGGAGATTTGGAGCGACAACAGAACCATTTTTCGTGGTGCTTGCCATGAGCTTCAGCGATTGCTGAAGGCCGCTGACATAGATTGGGGACTAATCAAAGGACACCTTGCCCTCGAGGGCATAGTCTGGAATTTCATCCCGCCTTCTGCCCCATACTTCGGTGGCCTGTGGGAGGCCGGCGTCAAGTCAATTAAGATGCATCTTCACTGTGTCGCCGGCCCCCGGCGACTCACCTACGAAGAGTTCTCGACGCTCTTGGTTTCGGTGGAGGCTGTTCTCAACAGCAGGCCCCTCGCTCCGCCATCCGGCGATTTAAGCGACCTTGATGCGCTCACATCGAGTCACTTTCTCATCGGCACCTCGAGTACCTCTCTCGCCCAGCCTGTCGATCCTGCTGTCAACCTAGAGCATTCCACACACTGGGACCTAGTCAAGGGGATGCGAGATCGTTATTGGGTACGTTGTAGCAGAGAGTACCTCAACACATTGCTACAACGGCTGAAGTGGAGGCGTCTCCAGCCGAACTTCAGGGTCGGTGACTTCGTCGTGATCGTCGACGCCTCACTTCTCCGCCCTCATGGACAGTGGCCGATGGGACGCGTCGTTGCCGTTTATCCTGGAGCCGATGGACTTGTTCGGACTGTCACTGTGCGGACAGCTACCGGCGAGTATATGCGGCCGATTGTTAAGCTAGCGCGACTTCCGCTGACAGCATCATCTCCGGACGTCGCATTACCTGCAGACTCCACTGCTGCATAACAGTTGTTTCGTTCTGGGAACGAGGCGGGCGGTATGTTTGGTTTCGGGATGGCCACCGCGCACACCTTCCGCGCATGGCTGGTCCTTCCTCAAACCTCGGGCCCACTTCCGTTAATTCAATTGAACAACGGCGCCGTTGCGTCCTTCTGAATCTCAGTGTGTGCTAGCCATTGAGCGCATCGTCGTACGCAGGCATACGATAGTTGAAGTTTCATTCGTGTTGCAGTTATATAGCAAATAAAGTTATTGACATTCAAATTACTAAGTGATTTATTTCCTACCTCAACGTCTTCAATACATGAATAAATAAATAATTTCTGAAAATATACAAAATTCGCGATACTTTTTGAACAGACCTTGTATATAACTTAGTAGTGTTTTTCCTCTCGGTCACGATAGTGTTTTGTGTAGTTTGCTATTTAATAATAATTCAAAAACTTTTTGTGATATAGATTTAGAATCTTCATTATCTCAGCTTTTCAAACATGTCTATGACTTATCGGTTTAACGACGTAATGATCAAGTTTTGAGGCATTAATCAAACATTTTCAAAAAATTTCAACTTTGTGAATTTTTTCAAGGTCAAAAAATTACCTTCCAGTGATCGAACTATTTTTTTCATATTTCTTATTACATAAACTACCTACTTTAAATTTCAACTTCCTACGTCATGTAGACACTGAGACGTATGATTTTTACATAAATATTTTTCATTTTCCTAATATGTGACGGATAGCACAGAGCAGTTCTGTCTCTCGTCATCATCTCATACAAGGAAACGAGTGTGCCCCTTGGGTATGACAAGCACGTACTAGTTGATCGTTTAGATTCACTCTAGATTTCTGCTCCATTAATCTTAGCTCCCCCTTATTTGAAGGATTGAGTGATAACGACGGTCAGCGTCCTTACCGATGGCCGATAACGATACCCCGACTCTTAGCCTTGTCGTGCGCTCGTAGTTAGACATGTACTTTTTATATAACTATTGCTTAGTGAGAGACGGGTTATTTACGTTGTTTCAGAGGTGCAGCGCAGTTCTCTACCGACGACCAGTCTTAGTATATAATTTTTCTTTTGTAAATATAATTTATAATAAACTTATTTGATCTTAATTATCTGTAAAGCCTAAATCCGGTAGGGTTCAGGCATATCCTACCGGAAAGTTGGTGAAAGTCCGAGAATCTCACGGCTGTGGAGATTATTCCACGCGTGGAGATACGCTGCATTAACTGCTATTTATTGATGCATGCTTACTTCTAACGTTACAAATTAACTAAATAAACTTCCATAATGACGCGGAAACTAAATAAAAATCTGGATCGAAGCGGCAGAACCACATCGCTACTGTCATTACTTACGGAGAGAAGATACCGCGTTATTTTCTGCGCCGATGTGAGAATGATATTTCGGAAAATCAGGGTAAACGAAAAGGACATTCATTTACAGCGCATCGTTTGGAGTCCATCCGTCGGCTCAACACTTTGTGCTACGAATTATCATTTACAAGACGGTATGAGGTCCACACTTCGCCCTGCGCACGAAGCAGCAGTTGTGCATCAACGAAGGGGAATGGTTCCCTTTGGCTTGCAAAACTTTGAAGTAGGATCTTCGTGAACGACTTTCTGAGCAAATAGCCTGACCTAGCGATTATGATGAATAAACGGGATCAGCTCATCGGGCTCCTTGGAGCAAGTGGTTCCATCTATGCCAAAAATCTAGAACTTCTAGCCGGGATCTCACAGGATAATCTACTCAAGCCGAGCTGGATTCATCTCTCCACCGATGAACTAGTGAACGAGCTGAGGGTGACCTGAAACGTAGTGGCCGATCAATTTACGTTTCATGCGACAACGACTCTCATGACTGTCCGGTTCACTAAAAGGACCGCCCCAACAGACCTTTCCAGTATCTTTGATTCTGACTTCATTAACTCTCGATGCCAAGTTCATCGTTCAAGATTTCTGACTGGCAAAATTTGAGTGGAATGAAGATTTGCCCAAGGTATGGGGCAACAAATCGCTCGCTTTTCGAGGAAGTAACCATGGAGCATCAAAATTTTTAATTCTACGCTAGCTCGATCATATACCAGGCATGGACGTTAAACTCAATATCTTCGCCGATGCTAGCCAACGTACGCTCGCTGCTGTCACCTATTCCTGAGTGATTAGCACAAACGATGAGTATCTTACCTTTCTCATCGAAGGAAAGTCCAAACTTGCGCCCATCAACAGCCTTCTTCCAGCCACTGGTACCTGAGCGAGGATGAACATCCCACGGCTTGAGTTCCAAGCGGAGCTGTTCGTTTTACAATTGCTGCAAAATGCCGTAGTCTTCTTGCAACTCCTTATATCGACTTACCATTTATGGAGTGATTCACAAGTCGTCCTTCACTGGCTTCGTACGGAGGATCCCATTGGCAACAATTGTTAGACAATTACGTCGTCCACATTTAAGAGCTCACTGCCGATGATACGCTGCATCACGTTCTCATGGACTGTAATCTCGCCGATGTCACCTCTTGCGGAACAGATTCCTCAAATCTAACCCTCCACTCTCTGTTGTGAAAGGGCTCGAGTTGAATCTCAAGCCTTAAAAATAAATTACCTAACAGTTCGGCCGATGCCAGCTGCCCTTCGACTGTTTCAAGATCTCTCTCGGCCTGCCTTGCAGCGATTATTACCAAGAATCCGTCGAAGCTCTACCGTACGTACATCTGTCGATTTTCCTCCTTGGAAGTTCTTCTGAGAAGACTTGGATGTAGCGAGTCCTGCAACATGGAAGGGATACGAAGCTCTTGACGCCCGTAACATCGACGGAGCATCGCCAAGCCTTCTCTTTCTGCGCCAGTTTGTCCCAACGCCTGATGTTACTGCAGAAACTTCCCAACTTAGCCGCGGGGAGTTGCTTCGAGATCATACACCATTGAAGTCGCTGGAGCCCTTCGTCGATTATGTTTTGCAAGTGGGGGCTGGCTAGGTCGATCCTGTCTACCATACGATAAGTGACAACCCATCCTCCTTCACGGATAGTTGCATTTGTCTTAACTCATCATCCGTTAGGTATATGAACACAGTCTTTATGACAGATATCAGGCCACTTACGCCAGCGATAAAGTGCGACTTAAGAAACACCTCCGCTTGCGTTTGATGTGCGCTTATCAACCACCTAAACCTCTTCCCAACATATGGCTGCGCTGCCCTCAGACCTAATACCTTCCTGTCCTTTCACAAAATGTGGTGTTGACTACGCTGAGCTACTTCTTTTCTTTACTACAGTAAGGGAAGAGGCACATCCATCATACATAATACACCGCCCTCTTTGTGTATTAAGATCATAAGTTATAAGTCGTCGGAAGTTCTACACTCTTTTGGTCTCGGTCGAAATGATCTTCAACAGTCGGTCCCACGTCCCTCCGGTCGACGATCTGAGCAATCTTGAAACTCTCACTTTCAGTCATTTTCTGATTAGAAAATCAACTACGTCATACCCTCATCGAACGTTTTGCTAGAGAAGACAAATTACTGAAAACTGGTCCAGACTATGAGAAGGCACTTCTAGGATCGCTAGAGCCGAGAGCAGCTTAACTCTCCTACAGAGGCAAAAGAGAAGGAAGTTGAAACCAAACTTGGATATTGGCGACCTCCTCATGGTCATGGATAGCGGCCAGATAGACGCTAGACTCTTAAGCAAAACTTCTCCACTCATTCATGTCCAGACGATTTAGTCCGACTATCGCTGTTAAGACTCAAATAGGCGAGTACACGAGGCTGATAATCAAAATCGGCTGACTCCCCCTCTAAGATGATAGGGACAGTGAAGGAGGTGGACGGGATATTTGGTTAAATTATCCCGTTCAAATTTATACCGGAAATTTAAGGCGCTTTTATGCGTGTATGTGAATATGTTCGCGTGCCTTGGCTGCGTCCAGTTGTGCATGAGTGCCGAGAGTGAGAAATGGCGTTGCCGGCAAGCCAGCGCGCTTCCACTAGTACGTGTGCTTGACTTAAATTAAAAGGATGTATTAGCTTGGACAATAAATCTCTTTGTTCTACACACGTTGCTTATTTATTGCATACCCTGCCCTATAAATATAAAAGGTAGTGAGCTTCCATCACATTTCCATTGTGTGAGTAAGGAAAGAGTCGTGAAATAAAATCGAAGTAAAATCAAGAAGAAGTTTATATATGGATTAAGTGTTAAAAAAATTGAAGTGTAGTGGCACCCGCATCGTCAACCTGCTGCGACATTTTGTCAGCAAGTTGAAAATGAGTACGAGTGATAGTCGATGAAAAATTCGATTCAAGGAAATGGATAGATTTAGGGAATAAAAGCTACAGATAAAATTTCATAGATAATTTACATCGTGAAATTTGGAAAGTTTTTCTTGGGAGTGCTGTTAGAACATCACGTAACTTGTAAAGGTAAAACACACAAGCTGAAAATGTTGAGATTTTCGTAGCATCAGTTAGAAAAAGATTCGCAATGTTAGTGGTGTCATATTTGCGCGCGCGCTAACATTGATTGAAGAATCAACGGTAGCGTCGGGCAATATGGTAGAATTTGAATGCACGATGCACGTATGCACGGTAACAAAAGCCAAGCGAAAACATGAGCGTGCGTAATAGTATATTACATCACGACATATAGCCAGAAAGCTAGATTTTCTGGATAGTGGAGTTTAATGTCCGAGGCTCTCTTTCGATAGTGTAATGCTTTATGCCGGATTTGATAAACTTAAATTAATAATTCACAGGCCAACGTTAATTAAAAAAAATCCAGAAACTCGATCGCATATTGCTGAAGGTATTTGATACGCTGAATTCGAACCTGGCTTGTGAATTGATCTATCTCCTAAGATTCTTAAGATATCCTAACCTAAATGGGAAAAAATCATAATTATTTGCTATGTTCAAGATTATATAACACCATGAATAAATCTTTTTTTCTAGCAGTAATTTTGTAATAACATTAAAATTACAGATTGCAGAGGTCGGGTTTAT